TTATTTTTCTTATGCGTTATATGAATTTCTATTCTTATGCATTCTAATTATATGGAATTGACTCTTTCAGAAACAAGAATGTGGGACACAGAAATGAAAATAAAAGGACAAAAGCCTGAACCAAGGTCATTCCATGCTGCTGTCTCCATTTGAAGTAAACTGGTTGTCATCGGGGGAAGAGGAACAGAGAACCAACATTTTGCTGATGTCCTTGTTTTTGACTGTGGTAATTTTGTTGTTGTTGTTCAAATAGATGTTTGTTTTAATAAAGCTTTGATATTGTAAAAATTTGAAAAGTTTCAGTGACATATAAATAATATTTGATTTCAGAATCCAAAACTCGGACCCAGGTGAAACAGAATGGAACAGTTCCTGAGGGGAGAAGCCAGCAATCCCTGGGGATAATTGGGGACAAAGTGATAATGTATGGAGGAACAGCTGATATCTGTCCAGAGATCAATGCTTGTCAGAGATTCTTCACTGAAACACACATATTTAATACAGGTAAATGTAAAAGGACACCTACACTTGTAAAACAGGTAAATCTACACACACACACATCTACCAAAAATTACAGATAAATCTACCTAGAAAGCTACACATTACAGGTGTATCTACACTCACTGACACCTACACATTTAAGGAAGCGATTGCGGGGGTCCGTGAAAAAAATCCGCTCAATGAATTTTTCTCATTTTTACATATAATTTGGCTTAAGTTAATGGTATCATAATATGAAAATGTCAACCATGATCATCAGGGTAATAAGAATGATATGGTTGCCATGGTTACCGCAGTTTTTCAATATTTTTCAATACTACACAACAGATACTGGTCTCTTACCTGTTTTATAGTGCTCGGTAGACCATATCAATAGCCTAGGGTACTTGTCTCCTACCTGGTTTATAGTGCTCGGTAGACCGTATCAATAGCCTAGGGTACTTGTTTTTTACCTGTATTATAGTGCTCGGTAGACACTATCAATAGCCTAGGGTACTGGTCTCTTACCTGTCCTGAAGTACTCAGTAGACCGTATAAATAGCCTAGGGTACTTGTCTCTTACCTTTCTTGTAGTACTCGGTGGACCGTATCATTAGCCTAAGGTACTTGTCTCTTACCTGTTTTATAGTGCTTGGTAGACTGTATCAACAGCCTAGCACACTGATTTCATTTCTGTGTAAAAGTCATTTGTTGATTTTTTGATATATCATTATTTTTCTATGCATTCAACTTTGCTATTTTTCCATCATTGTTATCTGATTTCAGAGTCATTCGTTTTTATTTTGTTAAAATAATTTAGTTTTTTTTAAATTGTTTGGAAAAGAAGTATAATTCGAGATATTATGTTACTACACAGTCACAGATCTATCGTTACGTAATACTATATTGCACACTCAGGTAGTTAATCAGCTTTCAATACTTTTCCGTACCATCTCCCCTTACTTGAAAGTGTCCTTTATTGCTAATTCTCTGTGTAATGAATCTTGTTGTTGTTCTTTTTTTCTAAATCTTCGAGAAATGCTTGTACTTCTTGGTAGTTTCTAAACTTTCTGACAGCCGGCATGGTTTATTGTTTTGATTAGAAACCGCGCGAAAATGTCAAAGTCATTCCTTACATTATTTTATTCGTATGGAAAAAAAACTTGCATAAAAAATAATGAATTGTTTATCATTTGTATATAAAACAAAAATTTAAACGTTGATTAAACTATTAAAAAGAATAGATAAAGTTATTTATTCTTTTTAAATTTATTGCGGATACCGGATCTCGTTGAGCTGACCGACATACTTTTTCTTGTTATCAATACCTCATAAATATTCATAACTACGCTAGGCTCGTGATATATAGACACAACCCCTTAAGACAGGTAAATGTACACAGAAACCTACACACCGAATACGCATAAATCTTCACAGACGCATACGAAAACATTTTATACACATTAATACACAGGTAGAAAGCTTTTAGCTTATAGGTTGGTCAATTTTACATTTATTGAAAAATTACAACAATGTTTTTATTCTTTGCATTAGTATTTTAATAATAAAATGAAATACAGATACATAGCACAGATTACAAAAACCCTTTCTGTAAAGTAGTACATCTTACTGCCATTGTTTGATCATTAATTTCACAGCTTCCATATTTTATTTCTTCTAGGTGATATAACCAAAACACAGTCACGAAATGGAAACCATTCATAGCAACATCGCGTGATCTTGTTTTTATTAATAGTGAATTAAAACAAAGTTTAATGTACATTTGTATGAACTGAATGGAGTGACAGCTATTTCATGGATCACTGCAAGGAAACCAGGATATCAGTTCTTACTTTTGAATTTTATGAAATGAATCCAACATCACATAAATTTTGTAAAGTTTGCTATCAAAATTCAAGCAATTTAGCAGGAAATTTGACTTGAAGTAGATAAATCTTGATACTTTTACATGTTTTAAATAGCTTGCATCATTTGAGATATACGAATATGCACATGCCTTGAATACTCAGGTATACATGTATCTACATATGCTAGCTTGTAATACAGTTCTTAAATATTTTCTCCCCTCTTTATTCTGACAACATTAATCAAGTATTCAAGTCAAATCAAGTGTAAAAAACAAAATGTTTATAAAGGTTTCATTTTACATAATGTACATGTTGATTTGTTAAATAATAAGGAAGATGTATTCAGTTTCTAGCCAAACGTGTATCTCCTGTGTCTGATATTGAAACACCTTTTTTTCATTTTACTTGATTACATTGTTATTGCTAATTTCCTTATTTTACAGTCACGTGTAATTATTTTAAAAGTAAAACATGGTTACAGTGATCATGCTTATCTTGAATTCATCCTTACAGTGAACTTGAGTTACAAAACATTATGAACTTAAGAAGAAAAAAAAACATTTATTTTTCCCGAGACTCAGAGAGGGAAACACTCATTACTGTGAAAAAAAATTCAATTTACATTCATTGAATTTGGTTTATTGCAGCTACGTACACAGCTAAATATGGAAAGAAATCTTTCGAATCTTGTGAATAGTTTTTGATTTAAAAGAATTATGAAAAAAAAATTATATTCTATTGCAAGATTTAAACTTCTATCAAAGAATGATTACCTGCTACTAGACCTTTTATTATACCTTTTTTGAACAATACATGAAAATGTTACGGTTTCCTATTTATTCCCATTACTACGGGAAACACTTCTGTGGAAATATACAGTACAAGTTAAACAATACTCCCTGTAAAATACTGGACTATAAAACGACAAATTATATGTTTAATTAATTGTATGTTTTATTTTATCATCCATTGTATATTTACCATGTTCATCATTGGGACGAGGTCGGTAATTAGCGTTACCCCGAAATTCCTCGACATCTCACATTCCCAAGTCACGCTTTAACTGTTTAAGATTGTCTTTGTTTATGTTTACGAAGTTCATCAGCAATAAGTCCCAAATGTACCAAACAGTAATTATCCGCGCCCTAGCGTGCGTGATTCCTTTCGCCGATCCGATCGGCATGGCAGCATATCAAAGCTTCTTTGCTCTGACAAAGATGGCGGGTATTTTCACTTTGATGTGACGTCACGAGCCCGATGCCTATATAAGCCAGCGCAGATCGATCGACTAGTAAGTCAGTTTGTAAGTTTTTGCCACTTCGGCTTTACAACTCGTATCGCCAGCATGTCTGGGAGCGAGAGCCGCTGGGTAATTACTGTTGAACATTAATTAATTAGTGGGAGCTGATGAATTTTGGGATAATATTTTATTTTTACTTTTAATAATTATATTGAATTGTTCTGTGGGAGAAAATTAGTGGGAAGTGAAATAACTCTCCCATAACTATCAATTATGAAGGGACTCCAAGTATTTTTGGGAAATACTTTTATACTTTTGTAAATTTATTTATAATTCCCTAAAACTTAATTCTCCCATTTGAGAATATTTTATTCCCATTTCTATTTGGGAGAGAAATAATATTCCTACGGGAGCAAGAAATAGGGATAATCATTCAAAGAGATTGTAAAAATTAAATACAACAAGCAAGAATAAATTTTTATACATTTTAATCCTGACTTAGAGTTCTTTTGTCCAATATACAGACTTGGGAGACCCACAAGTTGCATAAGGGAGAAAACCCCTGAACGGCAACAAAAATAAAATATTGCAATTTAAAATAATTATTATTTATTATGAACATAATTAATGTACATCCAATCAAAGCACTGGATTCTTGTTGTTTTTCCTTAGATGTAATTCTAAGTTCACTAGCTGCTTTGTATGGCAGTGAGATACAGTGTTTGCCAAAACCATTTCGTATCTGGTCATCTTATGTTTAGCCCAGTTTGAAAGAAATTGTTCAAAGTGAATAATTTCATCAACTTTCATACTGAACAGACATAGCTGTTACAAGTATAAACTGCATCAAATTTTCTAAAATTTTCTTTCCTATGACCTTGATCTCACTTCTAATTCTATTTAGCTCACTTTCTGTAAGATTTTCATAACAATTTATACATGAGAAATATGGACTTTCTCCAGAATCATAATTTTCTGACATTGATTTTTCGCTACTGTGGACATTGATCTAGCTTTTTATTAAGCTTAACTGAGCTATAAGATGATATTAGCTTTATTGATAACTCATTATCCAGTCAAGTCCCCTTTTTCTCAAGGTCTCAATCATATGTAGACCCATGTTTACTTCTCACAAAGGAATCTGCCATGATATTAAACTCCAGCAGTAGGTACTAGAATTGATAGATAGCACCTATACATACTGTAGTTTTTTTTTTACTCGGTGTAAAATGCCAAACCCATGGCAACGCTTTGGCAACTTGAGGACTCGCATGGTATTCATTTTAGACATTTTATGTGCTAAACATCAACAAACACATGTGCACATATGATATAATTAAGTTAAATTAACATATTAAATCCCTGATATTGCATTCATATAGCAAATATATTTTTAAAATGTAATTATGGCTTCACTTCAGATATTTAATTTTCTTCACTTGTTTATTTCCACCTTGAGCAACAAACAGATTGTCATTTGTATCTGTACACAGTCCCCAGGGATAACTCAATCCACAGTTTATGTAACAGAGGAACTGTCCATCCTGGTCTATGATGTGGACACAGTCATTGTTAATATCAGCTGTAAGGATGTGACTCTGACTGTCCGTGGTGATTCCTAGTGGACTGAATGGTTGGATCTTTGGAGCAGGATTATGTCCAGTGTACCTGAATCTCAGTTTCCAGGTCTGATTCATTACAAATACAGCTTTTCTTTTACAGTCAGACACACAGATATCCAGGTTCTTGTTCTCAGTTATGTATTCGAAATAAGAAGCAGTAGTCTGAAAGTTTTGTTTTTCTGTTGAGCCAGAGTAACGGATAATTCTAGATTGATGTTCATAATTCATGATAACCATGAAGTCACCAGAGGAGGTACTACAGACACCTTTAGGTACCCAGAAATTCTGTAGTCTGATCACCTCTATCTTCTCATTGTTCACAATGTTCACAGTTCTATCATAGTAATCAGTATAAACTAGATCTCCGCTTTTTGTTACTGCTATGTCAAATGGCTCATACCCTGACTTGGTTGTGATTGACTTGAGTAGTGATCCCTGATTGATGCTGAAGAGTTTCATGGTGCTGCCATTTCCTCTTGTCCAGATTTCTTCACTCAGACAGGCCACATTGTAAAGCTCTCCATACCCAGTGTCTATGGTGGTGACAGTCTCTGGTTCATCAAGCAGCTGTTTCACTGGAGGAGAGGATCCAGCTTCTGGTGATTTCTGTGTTGTCTTCATGCTGTATCCATGTTTATCTGATGTTAAGGAACTTGATGATAAGGCTCCAAACAGGTTACTAAGTTCTTCTTGAATTTTTCCAGGAGTAAATATAGGTAAGGAGGCCACAAATTTTTCTGGAAGATCTTTGTGTTTGTTCATACCAGGTTTGACACTGAATAGTCTGGAAATGTCATTGGCATCCACAGCAACATCAATTGAATCAATTTCATTCTTGATTTCAGAAATGTTTTTGTTAATTTCATCCAGATGTTTTTGTAGAGCTTCTAACTGTTTCATTTTCATCTTATCAACTTCAGCTTTAAGTTTCTTGACAAGTTTGTCAATTTCTCTGTGCCAGTCCTCTCCATGTTTTGTTATGGCTGTTGAGAGATCTCCATATTCCTTTTCTAACTGACTCATTCTGTTTTGTACATCAGAGGCAATGTCCTGGTAGGTTGGATAAATTGTATCAATTAATTCATTCCTTTCTTTTAAAATCATATCCTTCTTTTCATCCAAAACTCGCAAGAATTTGGATAATTCATGACCTAAATGTTGATTAGATTCAAGGCAGCTTATGCAGACAGGAATTCCACATTTTTTACAGAACATTTTACATCTTTCCTTGATATGAGTTGTACATGCAGGGTAGAGGGGAGTGGATTTTCTATCTTTAAAGTCGACAATTTTATGAGGTTTTGAGAGATCAGCAGAAAAATGTTCTCCCAAACAGGCCTTACACAGGTTGACAAGACATGTATCACAGTGCATCTGTACCACAGCGGTCTCACACAGGTCACATCGCATCACGTCCTGAGCACTGGTACGGGGGTCCATGATCAAACTACGACCGGTATTACTGAATGAAAAAAAATAAAATTGTAATTTTATTGATACATGTATCAATATTCTTATAGTGACTTGATAAAATGACCGAGAAGTATCTATACTTGTTATAAGGGAAGTAGCAATGCTTACTGATTATGAGAACATACAAGTCAGATATAATCTAAACGTAGTTTACAAAGTTGATCTTCTAGAAACGAAAGTTGTATCCCCCTTCCCTATCAGTTATGATCTGGGTCAACTTTGAATAGCAGTGTCTTTAACATTTTAACAAATCTTATTTTTCAGACCTGAAAATAGCAAGAAATGAAAATTTATTGCAAGAATTACCTCATAGTTATTACCTGATTTTATTTGCGTCTGTCGTGTCAGCATAATGCACATGACCCACTTACCTGTGTAATCTACCTGGTAGTTCTTGTTCTGTGTGTATTGGGGACAATGCATAATCTATAGCTCACCGGAGCTAATAGTTCTGATCATAAATTGCGAACTTAATTTACGTCGAATTCTTCTCCAGAATTACGCACCGTTGTCTTTTTTTCAACCAAAAAAATTGTCAAATATTTTTTGCAAGGTTGGCCCTCCCTTTCGAAATCCTTGCTACGGGCGGTGTAACGTAGAATATTGACTCGAGTTGAAAATTGACCCGGGGTTCATTTTTCAACGTTGAATATTGAACCAGGGATGCTTTTTCTCCGTTGAAAATTGAGTCCAAAAGTCGTGGAATAATTGCATCTAATTTCTTACCACAATTGCCAAAGTTTGACTCTTGGCATAGTGATTACTCTGTATCCTAGCCATTGTCTCCTCCTCATTGTCATTTTTTAACATCTTGGTAATTTACTTTTTCGGCACTTACGACATAAACGCGTTGAAAATTGACCCTCTTGAATATCGACCCCCCGACTACAGCGTTTTGCCCTGTGTTCGATCTGGAAGTTGTTATACATGATTTATATGTACGTGTAACTACTGTATACAGGGTTTTTATCGCCCCGTGTTATTTTCGTCCTTTCATATCTGCAAACAAATCTGCCCCGTTTTAAGTTCGCCCATTCGCAATTCTGTTTAAAAAATTATACTTTTTTTTTTAATTCGCCCCGTTTTAAAATTTTCCCATTTGTGTGTAGGGGGCGAAAATTTCCCTGGGTTATTTTATTGCTTACATTTTTCATACCCATGGCTAGGCCATTGTTTAGTACTAAAAAACTATGTCTACCTGATCAATACATAGAGCTCATGACGGGTGTAACCGATTGACAGCTCTTAGGCATCTGATTCAATCTCTGGACTTTACAGGGGTCTGTATTTTATATCTTGTTCACAAATTTGTATTTTTTATTTCCACCTTTTTAGCTCACCTGATCCAAAATACTCTTCTCAAGAACCACTGGGCCAACTTCGACCAAACTTGCAACAAAGCGTCCTTGGCTGAAGGGAATTCAAGTTTGTTCACAGGAAGTGCTGCGCTCTCTTTCAAGGGGATATAATTAATTAAAAATTTGATGGCATCTTTTAAAAATCTTCTTCTGAAGAACCACTGGGCAACAAAAGATGAAACTTAAGTGAAAGCTTCATTAAATACTCTATATTCAAATTTGTTCATATCATAGCCCCCGGGGGTAGGGCGTGGCCACAATAGGAGGTCAAAGTTTTACATAGGAATATATAAGATATGTCTTTAAAAATCTTCTTCTTGAGAACAGCAAAGCCATGATTAGTCATATTAATGATATCCTCACGTAGTGTAGATTCAAATTTGTTCCAATCATGACCCCGGGGGGTAGGGCAGGACCACAACAGGAGGGTCAAAGTTTACCATAGGAATATATAGGAAATATCTTTAAAAATCTTCTTCTTTAGAATAGCTAAGCCATTATTAGACATTATAATACAGAAGTATTCTCAGGTAGTGTAGATTCAAGTTTGTTCAAATCATGACCCCTTGGGGTATAGCGGGGTCATAACATGCAGTGGGTCAAGGTTTACATAGGAATATATAGGTTAATGGTTAAGGGGCATTTGAGTAAAACGCATTGAAGACTTCAAATAGTGGAATGACCTGACAACCCTTGGAATGGACTAGCCTAAGGGTATATAATTCAAAGCTTTGGGAACGTCAGGCATTCAGAAGGTAGCTGTAGAAGTTGGATGATGACTCAGCAATAAAGAAGTTGAGGTATTGTATCCTAATAGCAAAAGATTCAATGAAATTGATTACATAACAGATGGTAGGTGTTGAATACTCAGTATATTTAGACATAATTCCATTTATTACTATTAGCATGTATGGGTGGGACGTGTCCTAATTTATGACCTTGAATTTTGGTAAGAGTTATCTCCCTCTGTTTTTAATTAATAAAAAGATCAATTTTAAGAAACTTATCTGGTAAAAAAATGTTTTAATTGTCATTCTATTTCTAATGTGTTTTAGTGCATTTTTCCACTACAGTATTTATTGATATTATTATTATTTGAATTTTTATTTTTTAAAAATTGCTCCATAGACTTCAATGCAATCTTTGTTAAGTACTTACTGCTTAGTTAGTTGCATTTTTGAAACTTTCGCTTGGTAAATCTTTTTCTACTGTAAAATGCTTTTAATTAATATCGGAGTATTATATATGTGATGGACATTTAAGGATAGAGGATGGAAAACCTTAAGGGTAAGAGCAAAATAAAAGTATAAAAGTTATTAACACCAGGGGCAAGTATCCTAGGGAATTAAGCTCTGGGTGTAGGAAATCTGAAGAAGATTTAGACAACTGGTTCTTATCTATCAATGGGAACCTAAGGGAGAAACACGGTGCAAGTAGTACCTTACCCAGTCCCCATCTCTAGATAAGGGAAAATTTAAGTACTGTGTGACATACTCTCAGACAGAGCTGTCTTAATAATCATTCCAATCATTAACTCAGACAGAGTAAAAGGAAAACCTATATATATTATCCCTTGTAAGGACATGATCATACCATTACATAGGAAATATCTTTGAAATCTTCTTCTCAAGAACAACTAAGCCATTATTAGTCATATTTAAGCAGAAGCATCCTTAGGTATTGTAGAATCAAGTTTAATCAAACAATGACCCCTCAGGTGTTGGGGGCACAACAGAAGGTCAAAGTTTTGCATAAGAATATATTGGAATCATATTGAAAAAATCTTTTGCTCGAACAACAAAGCCATGATTAGTCATATTATTATAGAAGCACCCTCAGGTAGTATTGATTCAAATTTGTTCAAATTTAAGGTGGGTAGGGTGGGGCCACAATGAGCAATCAGAGTTTTACATAGGAATATAGTAGAAAAAAAATTAAATTCTTCTGTTTAAGAACAGCCATGATTAGTAATATTGATATAGAAGCATCCTGAGGTAGTGTAAATTTAAGTTTGCCCCCCCCCTTAAAACTTTTAAATACTGAACTGCTTTCTGCTTCTTCCTAGCTAGTGTGCTTGTGCTCCGGTGAGCGATGTGGCCCATGTTCATTATGGTTAAAAATTACGTATACCGGTATATTTTGTAAAAAAAAAAAATTCAGTCTGTTGATCTAACCCGTGTCTCAACATATAAACTATCGTGGAAAAGGCTACTTCTTTTTCAATTATTTCATTTCATGGAGAAAGATTACCAAAGTATTTTAATTAGGCCACATGCCCTTGTCATTTCCGACTTCATTTCATATGTTTTGGGAGTGGTAGGTCCTCGAAAATTTTTGTATAATGAATTAATGAAAAGTAAAAGAGAGAGGGTTGAAATTATTGAATAACGATTAAAAAAAAAAATAGGTGTCATGTTTTTAACTGTGGAGTGCATGCATTAGGTGTGGAGAGTCTTAATAATATACAAGGGCTAAAGCTGTGGTGTAAAATTAACGTAGCTCTCAATTTTCAAGCTGGATATAGTATTCACTAAGTACGAATCTGATTATATTCCCTTTTCTAAGTTTTGTAGATTGTTCCCTCACCGGTATATAAAAATACTAGTATTGCCTATGGCTATGGCGAATATACATGTATGCCAAACGTTCGCTATATATAAGTGAAAATAGTACAATATTGATTGCAAATTAAAGCTTTCTTTGTGCAGATTTGAAATGAAATAAAATAATTGTAGCATATCAGAATTTTGTATATATTACTTTAAAATTGTGTTTTTATTGTTATGCACTTATAATTATGAAATATAGGTAGGTTAATAAAAGTTTTACAAACATATTAAATTGCAAAGTTATTAAAAGTGTCTGTGCTAATTGTTTTTTTTTTTTTTTTTTTTTTTTTTTACAATTTTGTTGAATTATTTATTTTCCCGTTAAAACTCTGTTGAGCGATTGGTTCAGACTTATCACATGACTGGTGACCATAGGCAGGTTTTTGAATTTCTGTGGGGTGTCACTCATGTCCCGTTTTGTGGTTCCAGCAGGTTGTGTTTTCAAAGTTATTTACTTTGGGACTTTTGGATTTTCAGTCATGGTATGTTTGACTTTTTGTTTGGTATTTATCTTGGAAGTTTAAGTATAATTGTTTCTGGGTGAGATTTCTGAATTTTTATATTTTCAGTAGTTAAAAATTTGCATGTTTAATATTCTTTTAGAGCAGCACAGCAGAGTAAATTTCCAGATAATATTTACTCAAGAGCCTAAATTCCATAATTTTGGTAAGTCGTTTGTTAAATGTTATTTGTAAATGTAATTGTAAATAATTTTAATTTTATTGCTAAACTTTCATAATTAAATAGATTTATTGGAGATCGCTTTATGAATTACATTTATGAGTGTTAAAACTATTAAGATATTGAGTTAATACGCCAAGATACGTATTAATTAGTGAGGGACTGTTTTATGATTAGTGTATTGTATTAGATTGGAAAGATAGATAGAGATGTTTATTTATTTATTGGACATAATATAACCTGCTGAACCTTTAAACCTGTGTTGTCGTTTATTTTAAAATATTTCATACGCAACAAAGGCTTGCATAATGTGATTTTCTTTT